CATTCCATGTCCTTTTCTGAATCTGGCTTAAATTTCTGGCAGTTCTGTTGATTATATTTCCACAACTGTTTTAAAAATATCTTTAGCAAAATTTTACTTACAAGTGATATGAATAATAATATCGTTAGATACTTTCCTTATTTTGTTGGATTGTCTTTCTTTGAATGGGCACAAAAACAGATCAATCAGTTGGTCTGGTATTATCTTCCAATTTTCTGTTTTGCATAGATGAGTGAACACTTTCAGCATTGCATCTATTTGTTGAAACATCTCAACTGATAGTCTGTCAATTCCTGGAGCCTTGTTTTTCACCAATGCCTTCAGTGCAATTTTGACTTCTTCTTTCAATATCATTGATTCTTGATCATAAGGTACCTCCTGAAATGGTTAACCAATTATTTTGGGTACAGTGACTGTGTATTCCTTCATCTTCTTTTGATACTTCTTATGTTCAATATTTCCTCCACAGACTCTTTCAATATTGCAGCTGAAGGCTTGAGTTTCAAACATGTTCTTTGCTTTTGTTTTCTAACTGTAGGTCTTTTCACATTTCAATAAAATATTTTACTTTTTCTGCCTGAGATTCCCTTTGAAATCTTCTGTTCAGCTCTTTTACATCATCATTTCTTCCTTTTACCTTAGCTACTCTATCTATGTTCAAGAGCAAGTTTCAGAATCTCCTCTGATATCCATTTCACCCTTTTTTCCCTTTCTTATCTTTTTAATAACCTTTTGATTTCTTCACGTATGTAGGTTGTCCTTGATGCCATCTCACAACTTACCTGGTCTTTGGTCATTACTGTTCAATGTGTCAAATCTATTCTTAAGATGATATGTAAATTCAGGTGGGATTTATTCAAGGTCATACTTTGGTTCCCATCGATGTGTTTTAATTTTCTTCAGGCTCAAATGGAACTTGTATATAAGCAGATGATGCTCTGTTCCACAATCCATCCCTGACTTTGTTATGACTGGTGATACTGAGCATCTCCATTATCTCTTTCCACAAAGGTAATTGATTTGATATTTCCTGACAGGAGTTGACATTGGTTGCTTCCTTTGGAGGGGACCCTAGAAGTTATTGAGTTTTTCAGTTTGACCTTCAGGGCAGGAAATATTAGAGGTTCAAGAAATTATCTAAAGAATGTACTGCTTATATTGTTGTTGTTGTTATGTGCCGTGGAGTCAGTTCCTACTCATAGTGACTGCCTATATTAGGAAACTGATAAGCATGGAGTTTCCTATGTTGTTGTTAAGTACTGTCGAGTTTGTTCCAACTCATAAAGACTCTGTAAGGGGTTTCCAAGGAGCAGCTCGTGAGTTTGAACTACCAACCTTGCAATTCAAACTGACCTTAAGGTCCAGTGCATTATCCTGCAGCACCACACCAAGACTCCAAGGAGTCTCCATAGGGAAGCCTTTATATAACCCACAAAGAAAATCTCTAACAGAGGACACACGTAGCTTCATTAGATCTGTATTGTCATTTAAGACTCTGCCTCTTTTTATGTAATCCTTTCGTTCCTGCCATGATCCTGGGGAATCAGCAAGCCATAAAAAAGGATGAAGAAAATGATCATACATGGTCTTCTCCATTGCAGATCCCTAAACCGAGTCAGATTTTGAGTGAGACTGGACTTTTTATTACCTGAAATTATTCCTTATTACCAAAATTGGACTGATTCTTGCTACTGAAAGTACTTAAAAACCATTGCATATGTCCTAAATATCACCAATGAGTGAGCAAAGGAGGAGTTCTAATGGAGACTGTTGGAAGAGTGTGGTTGGATAAAAATAAAGCTTTCCTGAGAAATAGTTACCTGGCATACAAAAAGACTCACATGGCTTTCATCTCCCAAATTTAACGATATGGTTTTATCTCTAAATGTATATTTGTGACCCACAGGTTATTATTAGAAAGAAGGTATAAAGATAACATAAGTTTAATAAATGAAAAATTAACATCAAGTCAAATATACAATTACAATCAAAAAAAGTATTTTTAATTGACTTGTGCGACATTTACCTATACTTACGTTTGACATAATTTTTTTTGGTAATAAAGTTAAAAGATAATCACCAGAGGAGCCACTCTGGAAATCTAGGTCTTTAAAAATATTTGTGCTTTCTTATAAAAGGGTCTTGGGAGGAAAGTCTAAGAAACATCAAATATCCAGAGCTACGACTAACTTAAGATTTTACCTGAAGCACAAGAATATTTTATATTATATTAAACTAGTATTAAAATAGGATTAAGGATGAATCACCAATTTATTCACAAATTCTCCATAATATTGTGATTATTAATCATACTTTTTGTCTCTTTGTCACATGTCTATTTAACGACAATAAGATTTGAAACAGCCACAAGAGGACATTTTGAATACTTCCTCCTTGACATTGGGAAAGGGAATTTGGCAACTAGAATCTCGAAACTAGAGTTTGTCATTCTGGATTTTATACCCAGATTAGAAGCCAACTTTTAGTGACCCATTCTATTTGCCTACCCAGTCAGTACCTTATGCTTAAATCTGCACAGAGTGAAGCACCATTTATCTTGCAGGGTATTGGGCAAAAGTGTGATCTGGGCTTGATGTTTTATATTCCTATGGGTTGAGCAAGGGTATACTTAGAGCACACACAAACAGGTAAACCACTTTTACCTTTAAATCCCAAGTTATTTCTGCCAGGTATATAGCCGGTGCCAGTGAGAAAAAGCAAACAATTCCCGAATGGTGGCAGCAATAATGCCAGCCTCGCCAGGAGTGTTCCCTGTAACTACCACCATGGAACTCTTGCATGCCAAAGAAGGCTAAATACAGTTTCTCTCCTGACACTGCACAATTCATCATGGATCTAATTGGGAAGGGAGTTTAAGAACTTTCACTTAGAGCTTGCTTTTGATAGAGAAGGATGTTGGTCCAAGGAGACCCTAAGAATCGACAAACCTCGTTCTTCACCTGGAAAGGACCTACTTAAACCCAAAGGAAGATAAAACTTTTCATGAAGTTTGGAGGAAAGCTGGTGAGGCATTAAACCTACACTCTTTCCATTTCTCTTCTCCTGCTGCCTCTGCCACTGCTCCTGCCAACACATATGTTCCCCACACCCATGGAGATCCCCCACTGCCAGTTCTCCATCCACTGCCACCACCAGCAGGATTCATGCCTCCATTGCACCTGTTTTATGTGGCTTTCCCAGCAACATCCACCTGTCTATAAACAACTCTGGAGGACCTTGGGACCAGCTGATAATGCCACAACCACTATAGGCAAGTTATTGGTGCCCCCCCTTGCCGAGATGGAATCTCATAAAACAAGGGACTAAATGTGGGGCATTAGTAATACTTCTCTCAAGTCTGTGGATTGCATTGCAATACTAAAATTGTGGGAATGGACTTCATTAGTGGAGAATGTGGTTCCTTTGCTCTGGGGAATTTGAGCCAAAACAAAAAACTTGAAAAAATGCCTAGGGCAGACACAGAAAGGGGACGAAGCTTATGACAATATTTAGCTGGTTTAGGAATTAGAGAAGTAATAAGTTAAACCAGGAAGGCACTTGGAGAATGACTTAAAAGTCATCTATGTGTGAACAGCAGAATCAGAAACTCTCAGAAACTTGAAATACTTAACACTGATAGCTTATGCCTGAGACTTGCCTACTCTTCTCACACCACAATCTCTGCCCAAGTGCCCAGATTTATGGCTGATTTCAACAATATAGTTGAGTGTAGTATTCAACAATATAGTTGAGTCTCATCAGGGAGATGAGTTAGGATCCTCTTAGGTTCTATTAGGAATTTATAAATATGTGGAAGAATTGCAGCCAGAGTGCTCCTTGGAGGCCAAGATGGCCAAACTTCATCTCTCATTCTTCAGACATATCATCAGGAGGGACCAGTCGCTGGAGAAGGATATCATGTTTGGTAAGGTGGAGGGTCAGAGAAAGGAGGAAGACCCTTAGCGAGAAGAATTGGCCAAGTGGCAGCATAAATGGACTCAAATGTGGCAACAGTAGTGAGGGTGGCCCAGGATTGGGCAGTGTTTCATTCTGCTGTGCATAAATAAGGTCGCTATGAGTTGGTACCTACTCAATGGCACCTAACAACAACAACATTCCCTTCCTGTATTCTAAATCTTAAGCACAGAAATACAATTTAACCTTTGAAATAATGATCTTTGCTGTCTATATTTTGTTCTCATGTATGAGGACTTTCATATTCAACATGGTCTTGACACATCTTGAACACAATATATACTTAACTCCTATGACTACAAAATTTCATCTCTGTGAAGCCTCTTCAGTAGGATGACTTACTCTGGAGTGTTCCTTGCCTAATACATTTTGGTATAATATTATTCTCTCATTGGTTGTTATTTATAGCTATTAAGGAGTGGAGTTCAAGAAGTTAGTGGGAAAATTTAATTACAAGACAATGGGATTTGTCCACAAACTTTTGAAGCTCCCTCATATATATCTCATACAATACCAGGCTATGCTGAGCATCAAGAAAGTGCTCAGAAGATACTAGGTAAACTGAAGGAAGTTGTGTTTATGATCAGAGGAGGCCAGTCATTAATTTATTATATATATATATATGAGTTTCCCTTACATGTATATGATATCACTGGATCATTGATAATTGGAAAATTGAATTATTTAGTCTAATTTTATCCAAACTTCATCTCCATGAGGTACAAAGATATAAATTTAGTGATTTAACTAAACTATTTAACAGATATAGAATTCAAGAAAAAAAAGAAAAAGTTCACTTATTTGCTTGTGATAATATAAACTAGTTATGGTTCCCCAAACCATCTCCATTGCTCTTATATTCAGTGTAATAAATTATCTGCATGACCACAGGGCTCCTATTTATTCACTTATGAAAACAAAATTTTTCATATATTGAAGCTCTTGATGAAGAAAATGACCAAAAAAATGAATGTCAGCACATAACCAAATAATATAAGAATCCAGTATTCTTTCTAAATTCTTACCTTCACTGTAAAAGCACATATGATGGACACATTCAATGTTGGATCACCTGGTATCTCTTGGTAGACCACAAGGTACTGGGTAATAATACCACGGGGAAACTCTGGCTTTGTCCAATTCAGCAGAACTGAATGTGCACTGGTAGCTTGAGACCAAGGAGTTGGCAAATCTTGAGGTGGGGTTTCCAAGGTCTGTGCTGATGACCACTGACTCTCCACTGAGTCCTGGGAGTTCTGGGCTTTGACTCAGTATTCGTAGAGTCTTTAAGGCCTCAGAGTCTGAGGTATCAGTAAATTCAAGGGCTCCTGACCAGATGAATAAGAGGGACTCTTCTTCAGTGCCAGCAGGACGTCTGAAAGGAAACCAAGAAGGCAACCAGCGACAGCTGTAAGACTTCAGATCAAATAAGGGAGTACTTTTTAGAATAATTTACTATCAACTCTATTTTTCAACTGTCTATTCTCAGTGTCAAGATGAAGACTGACCAGATGGCAAGATATACCAGAGTCCTGATGCAATATCATTTTAAAATGTAGTGAATATTTATATATAAATTTATATGAATATATTTATATATATAATTATATATATGCTGATTATATATACACACCATTATATAGATACATATATATGCTGATTATATATATATAACTATATATACACTGATTATAAAAAGAATATTTCATCGAAAACATGGAAATACAGAAAAAATTAAAAAGTGATACAAAATCACCACTCATCACATTTTGTTATATTAACTTTCAGACTATTTTCATTCAAAACAAACAAACAAAAAACATAAGCAATACAGGGAAACAAATGCATTATTTATTTATTTTTAAATATAGAAGTATATGTGTAAACAGTATTAATAAATTACTATGTTTTTTTTAGATCTTTGTCTAGACATTTGTGTGTGTTCACATGCATGTGCACAGTTCAATTTGAGACACTGATATCACTGGTTGTCTTTACCCTTCTGTGCTCCATACATAACAATGTTGTTGTAGTTAGGTACTGACTAGTCGATGTCAACTCATAGCGACCCTATGCACAACCAAAAGAAACACTATCTGATCCTGTCCCATCCTCACAACTGTTATTTTTGAGCCCACTGTTGCTACCACTGTGTCAGTCCATTTTGTTGGGGGGCTTTCTGTTTTTTTGAGTGATCATTCACTTTACCAAGCATGATATCCTCCTTCAGGGACTGGTCCTTCCTGCCCACATGTCTGAAGTATGAGAGGATAGAAATATGGTTGCCAAGTTGGTTATGTTTCCCTATGTGCATGCCTTTTCTAATGCACTCCCAAAGTCACTCTACTCTTGACCATATGATTTTGGTTTTGGCTAACGGGAAAACAGCAAATAGGATGATGACAAAGGACTGAAAAGTGCTTGCACACTGAGACCGACTTTCTTGCTGTTCTTAGAACCTGGAGATTGCCATGTGAAGAATCCCAGACTAGACTAGTGGAGGAAGAGAAGCTCTTGGAGAAAAGTCCACAGTTTTTATCCTCTTTTACCTAGCACAGTGCTATTGTGTATTTGTTTCCCATGTTTTAAATTCATTCCCACACATTCATTTGTTTGAATTTTCTCTTCCTTATTAACCCATAATCATCCAAGAGTAACCATTCATACTATATTGTCAACAAACATTTATTGAGTACTTATACTACATTAGACACAGGTAGAACGATGAATATGTTCATGGTCAAGTAAAGATGAAAGACTTTGACAGCAAATCACTTGTTATTCATGTAGTTGCACTAGAGATTTTGAAAAGGTCAAATTCCTTTTAGGTGTCTTCTCCAGAACCTAGTAAAACATAGAATATGCTAAAAAATTTATTTCAACGATCTGATAATGGTATTATTTAGTCTTCTTTTCAAATGTTATTGTTATAAAAACTAGGGCCTCTACTAAAACTCTTTTGGTGCAAAATATATAGAATATTAATAAATTAAGTAAAATAATGAAACTAATAGTGATTTGAATGGCTTCAAAATTTGGATATTCCATTTGGAACATTTCTTTTCTCATCCGGTTGTGAAATCATGACCTGACCTGAAGGGGAAGTCATTGATGAATTGAGGTTGGTTTTTCTTTGCATCTGAGCCCAGAAAATGTTCAACTAATTTCTTCTTGCATGAATTGCATATAATTCCATGTTTTTTCTGCATCAATACTATCAACACTTATTTCCTATTAGGGTATTATTTTAGGTTGGGGAAGAATGTAACCAAAAGACAGACTATCTTTTTCTTCAACTATCTCTATAGTTGAGGTGAGATGGGTGACTAAATTGAGATTTTCCAGGCTGTTAGGAGTATTTACTGAACACACTCTTCAGATGCTGGAATAGTCACATGATACCATATCAGATTAACAGCTCCATCAAAACATAAAGTGTTATTAAGACAAAACAAATGACAGTAACTTTCTCAAAAATGCAGGTTATTAAAAACCTTTGGCTTTGAGAATTTGATGATTCCCCATTTGATAAATCACTATGACCTAAGTATAAGCAATGACAAGCTTCCTGCAGAGGCCTGTCACAGATACCTCTCAGTGACCTGTAATTATGGTTAGGTAACCCACATCATTATTACCTCCTACCATGTGTGGGCCAGATTCTGCACTCAGTGTAGGCTTACAGGGTTTGGCCTTTGTGCTTACTGAAGACATCAGGTACCAGGTGTGTCATTGGGAGGGATCCATTCTAATGAAAACCTCAGGGCTCACAGCCAAGGACTTCTCTCAGTGATGTTTTAAAAAGGTGTTTGCTAGGAACATAGTAGAGCAAAGACACATATACATTTCTATGGGGAAATACAGTATTCTATTTTGTCTAGCTTCAACCTTTTTTTTATGACAATCCAATTAATTTTTGTTATCCTATAATGAATTTCAAAATCCAGGTGTATCTGTGTTTTCATAAAACTGGCATTGTTTTTTTTTTTTTTTTTTTAAAAAGGCTGGAAGTGTGAATTTTATAATCTACTACTCAAGAGACAATGCTAGTTTCAAGGTTATCTGTCAAAACAACTAAAGGATGTATCCTGGCTAACTATATCTTAACCTTCTTGAGTATTAAATGAAATAAAATTATTGTGAGACAAACGCTCACCTGTAAAACTAAGAAACACAATGTCTTTATGTCTGAATAAAATGTTAACAGAAATGGTGCTGGTTCGCTTTCTGATGTTGTTCTTAGGTGCCATTGAGTCAATTCTGACTCATAGTAACCCTATGCACAACAGAATGAAACACTGCTGGATCCTGCTCCATCCTCACAATTGTTATTAAACTTAAGCCCACTGCTGCTGCCACTGCGCCAATCCATCATCTTGTGGGTCTTCCTCTTTTTCACTGACCACATGCCCCTTTCCCAAGAATGATGTCTTTCTCTTGGAACAGGGCCCTCCTGATGATATGTCTGAAGTATGAGTGATGGAGTCTCGCCATCCCTGCTTCTAAGGAGTATTCTGGCTGGTTGGTTAGACCACAATTATTTCTAATCTATTAAAGATTCAACTGTTCATTTAGCTGGAAGTGTTTCCTCCAGAATATTGAGTGTTTAGGGATATCAGACTTTCAAGGATTTTTTTTTTTTTTTTTAGTAGCTAAATGGTTATTATTTGCTTAAACTCATTTAGTAGATTCTTCAGTAATGTGTTTTTTCCAGTTAGAATTAATTATAGGTAGCCTGAGTGTAAGAGGGGGAAAAAGAAGTATTAAAACTAGGAGCTATATATTTTAATGGACCTTCATACCCTATGCTGTCGCAATGTAGAATAATATTTTTAAGAGTTCTTAAACAATGCCCCCATCACTAATCTGTCAGTTTGTCGTACTGTGATGGTTTGTGTGTTGCTATGATTCTGGAAGTTATGCCATTGGCATTTTAAATAGCAGCAGGATCACTCATGGTGGATCAGTTTCAGCCGAGCTTCCAGACAAAGACAGATTACAAAGGAGAGACAGACTGCTTTTGAATATTAAAAACCTTAGAAATAGTAGTGGAACACATAAGCTCCAGAATATTGAGTATTGAAACATGATGAAGAGCACCAGAATATTGTCAGATATCGTGCCAGAAAATGAGACCCTCAGGTTGGAAGCCACTCAAAATACGACTCAAAAGCTGCCTTCTAAAAGTACAGTTGACCACGATGACGCAAACCAAATAAAGCCTTCCAGACCTTCATTTGCTGATGGGGTACAACTCAAAAATGGAGAGAAACAGCTGTAAACACTCATTTAGTAATAGAAACATGGAATGTATGAAATATGCATCTAGGAAAATTGGAAATTTGTCAAAAATGGAATGGAACACATAAATATGATATCCTAAGCATTAGTGAGCTGAAATGGAATGGTATTGGCCATTTTGAATATGACAATCACATGGTTTACTATGCCTGAAATGACGAATTGAAGAAGAATGGCTTCACATTCATCATCAAAAAGAACATATCAAGATACGTCTTGAAGTACACTATTTGTGATAGGATAATATCCATCTGTCTACAAAGAAAAGTAGTTAATATCACTACTATTCAAATTTACACACCAAACACTAAAGCCAGTAATGAGGAAACTGAAGAATTCTATCAACTTTTTCAGTCTGAAATTAACCAAGTCAAAATATATGGAAAATACTGGCATTTGGATGCAAAGGTTGAAAATAAAGAGAAAAGATCAGTAGTTGGAAAACATGGCCTTGGTGATAGAAATGATGCTGAATATAAAAGGTAGAATTTTGCAGAATCAATGAATTCTTCAATACAAATACCTAATTTTTAAAAAACATAAAAGATGACTGTACACATGGACTTTACCAGATGGAATACACAGAAATCAAATCGACCATATCTGTGGAAAGAGATGGTGGAAAAGCTCCATATCATCAGCCAAAACAAGGCCAGGGCAGACTACGGAACAGACTATCAATTGCTTATACACAAGTTCAGGTTGAAGCTGAACAAAATTAAAATAAATCCAAAAGAGCCAATATATGACCTTGAACATATCCCACCTAATTTAGAGGTCATCTGAAGAACAAATTTGATGCACTAGACACTAGAGACCGAAGACCAGAAGAGTTGTGAGGTGATACCAAGAACATCACATATGAACAAAAATGAAAGGTCATTAAGAAGAGAAAAAAGAAGGAAAACTCCAAAATGGATGTCAGAAGAGACTCTGAAAATAATATTCCAGTGTAGAGATGCTAAAGCAAATGGAAGAAATAAGGAGTTAAAAGAGTTAAATAGAAAGTTTCAAAGGGCAACTCTAGAAGACAAAGTTAAACATTATAATGAAATGTGCAGAGTTAGAAAAACA